TAATGCTCCAATTAAAAACATCACTACAGTTTTAGCTATGAAATGTTACCTTCATATCTTTTATCAGTTTCAATACTTGTAATATGAAGTTGTCCCTTTCTAGAAAATGGTTTAGTAAGTTATATATAAGTAAATTGAGAGATTCCCAGTACTTAATCTGTGATTACTTTAACTTGATAATTGTTGTAATTCCAGCTGGTTCCAAGTCATTTAATCTATTGCACAATCCTATTATTTGACTTTCTTTTTGCAATATTCAAACACTTTTTGAATTGTAAATCTTGAGATGGTGTACTATACTATTAGATATAGATCAATATAGTATAACCTTATTTTTGAACAGCTTTCTATATACCATTATCAGAGTATTACATATTTACAAGGATAGTACACTATACTACATTCTGAATTCAATTCTGGGTATTAAGAATCTGTTTAAAATATAAAGTACTTGTTTGTTAATTAATCTTTTATTCTTTATAAACTTAATAACTATGTTAATTTCTTTAAGCATCTATTTTCTGAACTCGATAATAGATTTCTGATTACCTATCCAGATTTCTAAGAATCTTGTCTATTCAACTCTATTCAATTCTCTAACTACTTTTCTATCAACTCCTGTTTGGATCTCTTCTGAATATTGGTTGGGGTTGTTAACCATAATTAATACTGATTTGTTACTATTAATCTGCAAGTTATTTGCTTTATAAAAGATTTTTGCTTCTTCTAGAATCTTTTCCATACCCTCTTGTCATGCTTTGCCCTTGTTTTGCATTTTAGACTTGGAAATGATAGGCTGACATTTCTTTTCTTTCTATAATTAGAATGGTATGCCTCTTTTTAGAAGTGGTTGATCTTTCTTTTGAGTGGACCTTTCTCTAGTTTGTTTAGTTATTTGCTAAGTTTCTCTAATATTTTACTTAACTGGGCTATCTCTAACTCTTGTTTTGCAGTTGATTTTAGGCTTTTTGTTTTTCATCTTGTTGTTTGCCTTTGATGTCACCTGATATTCAAAGCTTCATTATCTGTTTTTGAGAAATATTGTGAAGCCTGATATGGGGCTTGGTTTGCTTCCTAGTATCTCTGTCTTCCTATTGGCTCCCTATTGCTACCAGTTGTTGATGGTATAGATCTTATTATACTTCTCCTATTTTTTGGTTGACTATTGTTACTTCTGAGTCTTGCTAGTAATGTACCTTTTTTTTCAATTACCATGATATCATCATTACTTTCTTTATCTCCACTTTTTCTATCTCAGCTTTTGCAATTTGTTTTCCTGCTTCTTTAATAATTATATGCATATTACCTGACCTGACCAGATCAACTAATACCTTGTGATAATAATAATTCTTTGTACTCCATCCTAGTTCCTGATTGTTAAAATATATTACTGCATAGTTTTTTAATACCAAGGTAATCTTGTTTTTTGATATATAAAAGACCTTAGCCTTCATGTAGTTTAAGACTTTCTCTATATATTTTGTAGATAATTCATCAACTCCATAAAGTCTTAAGAAGTATCTCTTTCTCTTTTTTAGAATCTGAGTAATTTTTTAATCATCTTGTTTCTTGTGGGCTATCACAGACTATACTTGATTGAATTTAATCTTGATTACCCATTCCTTATTCAAGATGATATATTTTCAGTAAGCATAAATATGAACTCTAAACTATTTTTTATGGAAAGATATTCTATATTTGTGAATATTGATAATCTCTCCAAATTCTTCTATTGTTTGTTTGATTATATGTTTACCAAGTTTATGATCTGTATTCTCCAATGTAATATATTTTGATATATTTTTGGCTGATAAAAAGCTTTCTGGCTTGAAAAACTTTTTGTTTTGAATATACTGTATCTTTGAAAGGCTGATCCTGTGCTTATATCTTTGTTCATTCTCTTGAATGTAAAGTTTTCAGCTTCTTTTTTGTTAACAGCCTCCAGATATCTTGCTACATCTTCTTATTTATCAAAGCCAAATATAATCCAATAATTACTATTGATAAATTCTGTTTTAAAGAAATTCATTTTCTTAAGTATTTTTAAAGCTTCTTTGAAATATGCAATTACCTCTTCCCTATTTTCTCCTGGCAACATGGTTGGAGTATTCCCACCGTGATTGATTCCTGTTGTTTTATGAAGAATAGATTTACTATTGTTATCTGAACCCTGTTTCTTGTATTATAAGACATACTGTCTGTAATACAGCTTCCCTACACTGTTTCTTTTAACAATTCTATTTTTATTTGTTTCATTACTACTCTATTTTCCATTATGACTTCCTTAATAAAGTGTGTTTCTTTAAGTTCTACAGAAGTTGGATGAACTTTTATTATAATACTTTCTTTTATAGTAAATTCAACTTGATTAAAGTTTGATATCTGTATTACTGATTTGCTTGTTAATATATTATACATCTTTTCTTCTAGCATAGGTGCTTCCAAGTTTTTTTTTTATCTTGTCCCTATTCCCAAAGAGTAAGGATATATTGCCACAATATATGTTCTTTTGTTAACACCAATAAGTCTATCCTCAATAAATTGGCAATAATATTATCTAGTATTAAAGAAATATATATTGACTCAACAGGGATATAGAATTGATTGGTTACTGTTGGTCTTAGCTTATGCTATATCCTTCTTGTTTTTTAAAGTACTTGCTGAGGATCTTGATAAGAAATATCTTTTTCAGTACCTTCAATAACACCTTTTCTCTTCTTTCTAGGATCTTGATTATTGTTTATTCTTTTGTTAACATGTTGTTATGTGGCTTACAAAAAAAATTTAACATATGTTGTTGTTATTTAAGTGTATTTTTAATCACATTATTGGATAAATATTATTATATATTATTTTTCCATTTGACTTACAGTATATATCAATAAGTTGCTATATTGATATTAAGGAGTTTATGACACATGGCTTCTATGTGTTTACATATCTGATATTTGTTTATTAATATGTAACTGGTTATAATCAATTGTTGATCTTGTTTTAAATAATATGTGTTGATTAATTACATATATTCTAATTTGTTAATCTTTTACATTCTACTGTTTATTAATAGAATAATTAGTTTGCTTTGATACATGTCAAGCAAGTGAAAAGTTAATGTGTTTGTGTTTGCATGATGTGAATTAATTGATTTGGAGTTATTATATTGTTGTGATATTTTAGTTATTTAATCAAAGAGACTTGAACATCCTCCTGGATTTCAGTTGATCTTGAGGTTGTACTAATTTATCAGTATAATATATTGCTTTTAAGACTTCTCTTGGTGTCTAAAAAGGTGTTAACCTGTATTTGCCTGGCTAAGAACTTTGTAGAGTTGAGATTGGATCTCAAGAAGCCTACTGTAAATCAACTTGGTTTTGTTTTTTCTCCTTCCTAAAAGCAAAAATAATTTAGGAATATTTGTTTTTTAAGTTAAGTGAAACTTTTTTTCTGTTGTTGCAAAGTAAATTTTATTGCCTGGAAGTATTTGATTGTATCCTCTGAGGCTTGCTCTTGTATATAAGAGTTTTTGTAAGTTTTTTAAGAAAATTATCAAAAAAGAAATTTTTGAAAAAATGTGGATCAGTAAAAAGAATTTTTTTTTACAGTATATAAATACAAGTTATAATAGGATGTTAGTTAGTATTAGTATAATGCAAATAAATAAAGTTATATATTAGTAAAGGAATAAGTTTCTCTATTTAAAAATAATTAAGTTTTTAAAATAGTTCAAAGTTAAAAAATATTTCAATCAGGTAGATCTTTTTTAAAAGAAAATTGTTTACTTGTATAAGAATCTTTTAGAGAGTTTTGGATTGTTTTTTTTTTCTCTTTTTTCAATATCTTAATTTAACAATTTATTTTTTTTCAGATTATCTATAATAATAAACTATAAGCAATATTTTATTAATTTCTAAATTTGATTTAAAGTATTTAGTTAAAACATTGTTTTGTTTAGTTCAAATTAACTTAATGAACTTCTCATATTTTTTAAATAATATAGTTTTTTAATTAATAATATATAAAGATAAGTTAATTATCATATAAAAGTTTATGTAATATTGTAGATATTTTTCTGATATTTCAATAGAAACATATCATAATAATATTATTGCAGGTTAAAAAAAAATAATAAAAATAAAAAAACCATAACTTAATAATTATTGTTTTTATTATTTACAAACCTTTTACTTAGATTTTATGGATTTTATGGATTTAAAATATAAATTAATCCAATTAAAAAACAATATAGAAATAGAACATTAATAAACTTTTTTTTTATTAATAATGTTTTATATTTTGTTATTAATATACTTTATATTAACAAATTAAGATAAATTTGATTCTGTATAGCAGACTTGTTGTATTGCAATAAGAATAAGTTGCTTTAAAAATAAAGCATTATTATATCTAGCCGAAAAATTGGTGACAAAACTGACTATTGAAATCTTTTGTGTTATTTAAATTGACAAAAACACAAATGATTGTGATGTGGGAAAAGGAGCAAGATAATGAAAAGTCACGAGAAGTCTAGCACGAAAACCAAAGTTTTTCGTTATTATAACATGTGACATTTAATTTTCTATAGTAGACAAGTTAATTCTAGTTTCCGCGGCAATTTTTTGATGAAAGATTCTAGTATGCAACTGAAATAGGCCTTGAATTCTTGAATTAGAGAAAATATTCAAAAAGGATGTACAGTGAATTGAATGAAACTTGCTCGATGCAAAAAAAAAAAACACCGCACCGATTACTGATTAGTATCTATATAAACCATGCGTTTCAGGAAATTGATCTTTTCTATGTCATATATACATTACGTCTTTCGAAACATTAGTTATTACTACTCGAATTATGCCACCAGATAATTTTCAAATATTACTTTTCATAGTATCAACGGGAATTTGGTAAAGTTCAATTCTCCGAGGAGATACACAAAGAAATCTTCACGGAGTCTATTATCAGTGGAACCAATCAGGCCCTTCTAATGGAAAAACAATAGGAAATTACATGTTATTTTGAGCCTTGAACGCATCCCACGCATTATTTAGAGCCGAAAATACTCCATTGGCCACAAGTCTTTGTTCAATTGTAGTTGAAGTGCTTAGCTGAGAGAGATGAATAAATGAGCGTACGTGTCAGTATACATTTATACAAATAGAAAATATTCGTCTTTTTTTTAAACTAACCTTATCGGGATGCACTTTCCCGATAGCTTTCATATATCGAATCTTAACTTGTGCAGGCGTGACTAATTCGTGCAATCCAATCTTTTTCCATCCTAATCCATCCCAAAGTACCATGTCTAAGCTACTAATTAATGCTCTAATATTTGTTTCTTTTCCTAATCTCCATTGCGCTATCTTCTGATCCACGTTGTCCTTATGCCTCAATCTCTCTGATTCTTCATATTCCTGCTGACGTGCCTGACCTCTTAATTCCTTAACTGCAGGACTATTTGGATCTATGGGCGTTGTTGACGGTATGTTTATATTTGGATCGATAAAACCATACTCATTAAGAGGTACACCAAAGGTACTTCGGGAATCTGACTTGCTATTATAAGTTGCAGTCGACGAGAGATCTTCAAAGTCGCTATTTTTCTGCGTGGACTTGGGCGTTTGTTTGCTTGACGCCTTTTCCGGTGAATCTTCTCCGTTTACATTCATTTTCATTGCCATCTGACAACGCCGCAGTCCATCGCTAACTTTACTGCTATTGCTTGGATCGGAATTAACTAACTGTTGATAATCATTTTTCGCATCGTCATACTTCTCCATTGACTCATATGCGGAGGCGCGACGAAGAAGCGCTTTCGCATATTGTGCCCTTAAATTTACCTCGACTCCTGGAGGTGGCGGTCGCGTGACATCGTCGATTAGTTCGAGCGCAGAACTACAATCTACAACACAACCACGATGATCTCCATTTTTGAATTTCGCTGTCGCACGGTTATTGTAAAGTATAACGAGCTGGAGATGCTTAGCGGGTAATGATTCGATGGCAAGTGAATAAAATCTCTCTGCCTCATCAAATTGTCCAAGTTTGAATACTTCATTTCCTTTGTTTTTGTAGGTTTCCAAGTTACCTAATTGTTCGGAAGACGCATATATTACTGGGCGCGGAATCGGGGTAGATTTTGAAGAAGTTGCGGGTATGGGTGATGATTCGCGGGCAACTTTAGACGAATTGTTTTTCTGATGTCGACGAGGTGATATATACGTCGACTCAAAATCTGGTTTTGTTTTCTTCGGAGGCACAACAGGCTTAGGAGGTTTCGGTGTTTGTCTCTGCGATGAAGTATCATTGAAAATAGGTTTACGAGAGCGAGAGGAGGTCGGTGCAAAATGATTACGATTAGGGGATCGTTCGTCCTCACTACTGGTCTCATCGTAGCCATCCTGAATTTTTTCCAATTTCTTCATCTTCTCATTTGCCCTGATGCTAGAAACGTTCTCGTTACTCGTGTTGTCGCTGTCTACGTATCTCTCAAGATTCCCATATCTGTCATAAACATTGAGACCATTTTTTCCGGTCAGTCTATCTCGAATTTCGCGACTTATGCTGTTAAACGTATTAGGGGATTTGTCTGATCGTCCAATTTCTTCACCCGACTCGTCGTTATAAGCGTCCTTGAACTTCCCGAATCTCTCCATCTTTCCGTATTTTTCCCTAGACTTATTATCACTATACTTTGTGTCGTTGAGCTGATCAGTTGAATCACCATATTTTTCGCTTGAATAATAATCGTCTGAATCTTGAAAATATTGATCTTGCATCCACCTCGGTCTTTTAAAATCATCGTCTGAATTTCCTTGTTGTTTTTGCAATTCCTCTATCGCCTTGTTAACTTTTTCTTTAGATTGCTTATAAAGTGTGCTCGCCTTTTTCAATGCGCTTAAACCAAACTCGCTGGCCGTTGAGATAAGTTTTTCTTTTGACTGATAAAAATTCGAGGATGATGACGAACGATCACTACTTTCTCCATCGGAAATGCTCATTCCGTATACATTGCTTCTTGTCGCACCCAAAGAGCTTTTCTTTGGATATCGACCGCGTGACCTAGGTTCAGGTTCACTATCGTTGGCATCATAATCGTCATCGTCACGTGGAGAATGTGCTTGTGCGGTATTTGACCTACGACGATTTGGATGTGGAGTTTTGTGAGCATCCCGGTTCGTTTTTTGCCTCCTGGAAACTTGTTCTTCGACTTCACGTTGTTGAAAAAGGATGTCAATAGCAGATGACACGTCTTCACCATTGGAAGTGGCAGCAAGAGCGGTTTCAGCTTCGCCAGCGGAAAATCCCATATCAACAATTTGTGCAACCAAATGATCTTTATGAATATTCACACTCCTTTGAGTTGAAATTATGCTGGAATCGCGTGATCCTGTGAGACTTATATTATCAGTAGTATGGAATGGATCCACTTTATCCGCGACTTTCTCTTCTAAAGTTTCATGAGATGATTTAGGGGCCTGTTCAAAAATTCCGAAATCGAGCAAATCATCCGATACAGAACTCTATTATAATAGAGAAAAAGGGATTCGTCAGGTGTGCGTGTGATTGAAAGAAAACCATCTGAAATTGAATGAAACATTGAAAAATACTTTATTGGCAGTATCTGGTATAACGACATTTTTACGACCGTTACCCAATGATATGTTTGGTTGTGAATAAAGTTTGTCCCTAATTTTTAAGGTAAATTCGGTTGGTCACGGTTACATTACCGAGGTGAAGTTCATGTAGATGAATATAAAGGACCTTACATTTTATTGGAAGAATCTGATTCAGTTCTCTTTAAATCATTTGAAGGCATCAAAAAGTCATCAAACAGATCCACTTGTCGAGACGGGGTTTTCCGCAAATCACTTGCGGTTGAATTTCCGTTAATTTTGACATTCCTTGTTCCCTTGTTTTCCAAAGAATCCCAAAAGTCTGTTTGATCATAGTGTTCATTGTAGCGTTTATTTTCTTCCTCTTCTTTACGACGCTGTTCCTGCTCTTGTAGTTTAAGTTGTTCGATCAAGGATAAATTTTGCTGTTTTTTGTTGAACGGGAGTATATTGTCAAAAGCTTCGGTATTATTTGTGGTAGGAATTATTTTTGGAGAATCGACCGGAGATTTATTGAAAGGGGAACTCCCGGACGAACTGCTACTTTTGATCGATGATACAAAGTAATTTGGCGAGCTTGCGGTGGAGTTGAATACGGAAGAATTTGGATTGATTGCTTGATTACGGAAAATGGATTGATTTGGAGAGGTCGATAAGGTTTTGTTGGATGAGAGAATTGAGGTTTTTTCTGTCGAGGAAATATTTGATTGACCTCGTAGGGCATTTAATGGAGTAGAACTACTCTTCGGATTTTTGGCCTTATCTATGCCAGAGTTGCCCCAAATCAAGTTGTTGAGATCATCCATGATAAAATTTCAGTTATATAGTAAATAGAAAAAGAACGAATAGATACTGAGGGTTAGGATTTGTTATTTATGTAAGACGATGTTTATAATAATAAGATATAAATTTTCTAATTAGAAATATTCAATCTTAGATTCTTCATATTAAGTTCATCGCGAATAAAGAACATGAAAAAGCTGTAATTGGCTCAGACCTTTAGGATTTGGGGTTTTGAAAATTTATGTTTCTAAAAGAGGTTCATTGGAAAGAGTTATGTTCGAATGCAAGTCATTTATTGAAAGGGAGTGGCAAAGTAACACAAAATACAGCCTCATACAAGTTCTTATATTATTGAGGCTGAGTTTATGAACGTGAATCATGTGACGTATTGTTTGCTAAATCCGCGATCACGTGAGGATGATTCTCATTTTTCGAGCATAAAACAACCTCTCAATGCATAAATATGGCACCATCACACCGCCAAGAGCTTGGCATGGGACACAAGTAAAACAACTAAAAAGCAACTTATTAATTACATGACGTGAAACGCACTCCTCATAACCAAACATCTATAGAAGCCAATTGCCTTGATAAGTAATCAGATAGGCTCCGAAGTTTGTTCCCGATTGTATTGTGTGGAAGTGAATAAGGCGCGTATGCTTTTCATGGCAGTATTTAAAGCGTTAATTAATCCATCGATTATACGATTAAGTGATTCAAGATTTCATGTCACGTCATTAAATTATACATTTTTTTAGAAACTTGAAATGGTTCGATTTAAAAAAAAAAAAAATGATTAAAATAATCATTAAAATTAAAATTTTCACTAGTATTTAGTCAAGCCTAAAATTGGAGGACTGATACCATTAAAACAAAATAACCATGGCTAATATCACTGTGGAATAAGGATCCTTACGATTTCGATTTCCATGATTAGTTACCTTGCGACGAGTCTGCATGTCTAATAAAAAACCAACACTATTTAATTAAAGAATATTCAATGCACTAAGCTTATATAGAATTTTGGTTTGTGCTTTCGGTTTCCGTAGACTTAGTTAATTCCTCTGATTTCGAAAATTCTAACTTTCTCATGATTTTTCGCGAAAAGAAAATTGTCTCTCTCTTAATTTTCTACTCAATCTCGTAGAATTATTTTTTATTAATGCTTTCGGCTTGAGCGTCCTCGTTTTTTGTGACTTTTAAATATATCAGAGTTGAGTCTCTACCATACAACGATTCAGTATAGGGGATGTATTCGCTTTTATAAACTATTTCAGGTGTATTTTCACTGTTTTTCATATTTCCCAGAGTATCTTTTAACTTTCTGTCGGACCTTGATAATTCAGATAAAATGGTTTTGTTATTTTGCCATTCAGTGAGAATTTCATAAATTTTTTTCGCGGATGGACGATTTTCAGGATTTTTATTCCAACAACTTCTCATGAGATCTATATAACATTGTGGTGTACCCGAGACGATCGGGGGTCGTGAGCCATTACACACTTGAATTTGAAAATCACTCTGGGACTCCTTATTAAATGGCACAGCTCTTCCCGATGAAATTTCCCACATAATTATTCCGAATGAGTAAATATCAGATTCTAGGGTATATGCATTACCATATAAAACTTCTGGGGCCACATATGGCAAAATTCCGTAAATTCCATCGTATTCTGATATGTCAACTGATATTGAAAGACCCAAATCTGCGATATATGCACTATACAAGTTATCATGTAATACAGTAGTACATTACCACTATGTAAATCTCGGTGAATAATATTTTCTGAGTGAATAATCTGAAGATCATATGCAATACTGAGTAACAACTTTAACTTCTCTTTCCACTTCGTTTGTGCTATCGAATAAAGATTTTTACGCAAGGATCCCATTGATGCGATTTCTAAAACAAGAATATAATCCTTAGAGACATCATCCTTCGATATTCCATAGCACCTCAAAAATGTAGGATTTTTAAGACCAATATTACAATATGCCTTTAGCTTTATATAAACCAAAGAAAATAGTTAAAAACGCGGGATATTGCCAAAATTAGATGAGAATATAAATTTCACCTCTTTTGTAAGTTCCTTGCTATAGTCTTTTGATCCATGAAGCAATTTAAGCGCGACACCTCTAACATTCCAAAGAGCAAAATACACCGTTGCAAATCCACCATGTCCTATCTTTCCAACAATTTCGAGTTCCTTATAAGGGATCCATGATAATGAGTATTTGTTTTCAACAATTATTTTCATTAACTCATTGTCAGCATCAAAATTTTCGTGCATCCATCTGCTATTTGCTGCAAAATTTGTTTTTTAGTTTATACTATTTTAAATATTACTATAAGATAAATACTGTATATTACCTAATAGTTGATTTCTTTCCCTAATTATTTAATAATATGTATATTAATAAAAATTATTTTATTGAGGTTAACTAAAATAAAATCGCTTACATTTGATACCAGTGCATAGCCATTTCTAGATTTCTTTTAATGCCGATTCCGTTTCTATAAAATACAGCAAGTAAGTACATTCCATCAATATTGCCCATCTTGGCTAATTTTTGATAATATTCGAATGCCTTATATTCATCCTTTTCAACTCCAATCCCATTTCTATAAAAATGACCAACATTAAATATTCCTTCCTCATGACCCATATTAGCAGATTTTTGATAATATTCGAATGCTTTATGTTCATTCTTTTTAACTCCCATTCCTTTCTCATAGCAATAACCAACATTAAATATTCCTGTCGCGTGACCCATCTCAGCCGATTTTTGATAATATTCGAATGCCTTATGTTCGTCCTTTTTAACTCCAATTCCATGGTGATAGCAAAAACCCATTTGAAACGCTCCACTGGCATCACCCATCTCAGCTGACTGTTGATAATATACGAATGCCTTATTTTCATCCCTTTCAACTTCAACTCCATTCTGATAATAGTATCCTAGGATCACCGCTTCATCCATTCTAACCAATTTCATAAAATTTAATGACCTATGCTTGTTTTTAGATATAAATATGAATAAGAAATACGCAGAAATTTGCAATAACGTTTGCAAGTAAGTTTTTTATTTGCTGAAAACGCTGATCACTTTGTTTGGAGGCGTGACGTAATTAAACTTCTTATTTCCAAAAGATTTCTATAAATAATTTAAAGTTGAAAAAATGCAAGTCTTTAATTAATCAAATTATCATTATTTCTTTTTCTTTGTATATATGTTTGATAAAAATTGATTGAAACTTTTATTAAATTAAATAAGAAAATCAATTCTACTTTATTTGATACATACTATATTTAATTTTTAATTTAATAGATTGTCAAATGATCTTTTTATAGAATATATCAAAAATTTAATTATCATTATTAAAACTATAAATATAATAAAAAAATTAATTTCAAAGTTATATTTTAAACCAAATTTATAAAGATAAATTAAATTCA